AGGGTGGTGAGGGTCCGAATCTCCACAGGGAGCTCATTCCAGAGGGCCGGAGCAGCCACAGAGAAGGCTCTCCTCTGGGTAGTAGCCAATCGGCATTGGCCAGTGGATGGAATTCGGAGGAGGCCTAATCTGTGGGATCTAATCGGTCTGTTGGAGGTAACAAGGCCTCTAGATCAGTGTTTCTCCACCTTGGACATTTGAAGTGGCATTGACTTCAACTCCCATAATTCCTCAGCCAGGATGAGTGGCTGGGGGATTCTGGGAATGGAAGCCCACCCATCTTCAAGCTGCCAAATTTGAGAAGTCCTGATCTAGGCTATGGCTACATGTGGGTTAATTCCATAAAACACAAGTTAAGCAGGCTGAAAAATTCTCAGTGCCAGTCTACATATCTAGAGTTATCTGCAGTTGGGGTTGTCTTGACTATGGTTAAGCCATCTATGAACAAGTCTACTGTTTGATTGCAATCATTGGCTCTGGACGTATTTTGTCCAAAATAATGGGGATTTTGTAGCCCAGATGTGGTAGCCATACAATGGTTCGCTTCATCAAGTGTGATGATGGCTTAGTGTAGATGGGTCAGATCCTTAAGACACCTTAAATAGAACTCCAGTGTTGACCAGATATCCTTCACTTGACTTCTTCATTCAGTGTCATCATCATCTTGCTGTCTGATGGGTCTCTCTCTGTCTGTCTGTCATGTATGAAACTAGAAAGATCTCAAAAGAGCAAGGGTGATCTTGATGCTCATCAAGAGATAAGAGAACTGGAGATTTTGCCAAAGTGCATCAAGTCTTTAGCTTGCTAGAAGACCACCAGTTCCATTTTGGAGAGATGCTACAATGACTTTGTATTAGTGATGGCTTGGATTAGCACCAGTCTTCCATGGCGAAGACTTCTGGCCCGGAAACATGAAACTAGCTAATACACGAGGTCCGTTTGCATGGGCTATTGCCATTCTTCCCAGCATTGATCCAACACTTCACCAAGTCTCTAAAAGTCAATCACAAACCCTCCATAAAGAGTAGCTAAAGGCTCCCCATCTGGGAGGTTTGATGGGTCATATTTAAGTATCTATAATTAAATAACAACAACAACAACCCACTGGGAACATCATGTTGAGAAGGTTTTAGAGAAT